GTCAGGTAAGCCCGGATGCCATCCATCTAAGAAAAGTTTCAGTCCTGGATTCCAATGGGCTCTTTATATATGCTTCTTTTTTCAAGAACTTCCCAAAAGACTGACCGAGGCATATCACAGCAGGCAAAAGGTGCCAATTCGGACAGGGCATCCGCCTGGTTGTTGCCAGACCTAGGCACTTGACTCAGATGAAATTCTTCAAGTGTCCAAACCTCTTCTTTAACTGCCTGAAGGTATTTGATCATTTCCAGATGGGTAGCTTCATACTGACCCTGAGACTAGCTTACGACCAACAATAAATCAGAGAATGCATCAATCTTTATTGCCCCTGCTGCCTTACTCATGTAGATTCCGGCTAGCAGGGCTTTATATTCCGCCTTATTATTTGAGGCCCTAAACTTGAACCATAGTGCATATTAAAATTTTTCCCCCTTAGGATAGTTATAAATAATTCCTACACCACAACCGTTCTTTGTTGAGCTCTCGTCTACATACACTTTTGAATCCTAATCAAGGTTATCCGGTGGAACCAGCTGTGTCATTTCAATAATGAAATTAGCAAACGCCTAACCTTTCACTGTGTTTCTTGGTTCGTAAGTGATTTCAAGACTTCGTATTTCAATAGCCCATTTTAACATTCTACCGGATGACTCCAAGGTAGACATTGGCCGCTTGAGGGGTTGATCAGTGTAGATCACCACCGGATGTGCTAAAAGTATGGTTTTAGCTTCTTGAACGCTATATATAAAGAAAGGCCAAAATTTTCAACCATGGGGTATTAGAGTTCAGCATTTCTAAGTACATGGATAATGAAATAGATCGGGAGCTGGATGTTGTCTCTTTCAGCAAGGAGAACATCATTAACGGCATTGTCTAAGACGGCTAGGTACATGTAGAACGTCTCTTTGGGCAACGGGCTAACAAGCCTTGGCGAAGAGTGCAAGTGTTATTTTAATTTTAGAAAGTTCGCCTTAGAATCATCCCCCCATTTGAACCTAGTTTTCAACCTGATTGCTTGAAAGAAGTAAAGGCATTTGTCACCTGACCGGCTGAGGAATCTCCCCAATGCCACCAGGCAACCGGTTAGTCTTTGTACTTCTTTGACAGTGCGGGGTGACTCCATGTCAATCACTACCTGTATCTTCTTGGGGTTAGCATATTTCTCCCTTTGATCAACCAGGAATCCGAGAAAATTCCCAGACTCAACACCAAAGACACATTTATAGGGTTTAACATGACCTTATGCCGCCTGAGTGTGGTGTAGTATTGTAGGAGATTAGCAAGGTGATCGGTCTTCTACTTGGATTTGACTATCATGTCATTAATATACGCCTCTAGATTCCCTCCATTTTGATTAATGAAGACTGTATTAATCATCCGCTGGAAAGTAGCAGGCGTATTCTTCAAGCCAAATAGCATCACAGTATAGTAGAATAACCCCTGATCAATGACGAAGGCCGTCTTTTCTTAATTTTTTTTCTACTAGGGTATTTGATAGAACCCGAAATACGCATCCATAAAGCTCATCAAGGCATGACCGATTGTAGAATCGACCAGGCTGTCGATCTTTGGGAGTGGATAATTGTCCTTTGGACTTGCCTTTATGAGGTCTGTGTAATCAACAAACATAGCCAAGTTACATGGCCCAATGATCCTAACGTTTAACAGCCTTTTTGCTTTGGCAGTTGCCGCCTAACTTCTTTCCTAACCGTGATTTCTTTTGTTTGGCTGGATGGGCTTATTTTTTGGATCCACGGTGAGTTTGTGGACAACAAGATCTAGGCTGACGCATGGCATCTCTTAACAGTACGCAGATGTCCATAAATCTCATCAAGGCAAAAACGTCTTTGAATTCTTTCAGCAGGAGGTGTAGATCTGCACCAAACATAGCATATGCAACCGTCCCTACCTTAATAGTACGCTCTGGACACCTGTCATCCAGAGGTATATCAATATGCTCACCAACCGGCTGGGGACGGAGCTCTTTTGACCGTTCACCAGTCAGTGATTGTTATTTCTTCTCTTTCTTCACCTCCACCAGCTGATCAACCTTTCTTTTCTTTCCGGCTGCTGGTGGGGGTTTGTTGATGTCCTTGACATTGTCAAGGTCTATGTTGTTGGCCGTCTGGGAAAACAGTGGGCTTGACAGCTCAGAGGTAACACTCCTAGGCCGTCTTCTGATCCCCATTTAGGGAACCAATAGAACTGTCATTCTTCTCATACTTGATCAGCATGAGAGAAGGAATGATTTTCGCCCTAGCCTCGTTGAGAGTTGGACAGCCGAAATTGATGTTGTAGTCGGTCAGCTCCTCAACTACCAAGAACTTGACGACTAGATGTCGTCCTTCTCCTTTTTCTCCCAGCATAATGGGAAGATCAATCCGACCGACTACGTACACCATCCCCCCTCCAAAGACAATCAGGGGGTAGTTTACCGGGTGAATGCTGCTGGTCTTTTACTTCAGCTTCTGCAAGCACCTTTGGTTGATGATATCCGACGAGCTGCTGGTATCAATAAGGATCCGCACAACCAGCTGGTTGGCGCTCTTACATTCGATGAAGACCAGGTCGTCATGCGGGCGCGCGGACGCTGCCCCTGTCCTTCTAAGTGATCAGAACGTCTGGGAAGGTGGAGCTAGTTGACGACTGCTCATCATCATCCTTGTCCATCTTTCGAAGATGGCTCTTGGTGCCCCGGATGATTAGGCCACCACATGAGAACCCGCCTGCTATGGTGTAGACCGGCTCCTTGTTAGTTTTCGAGCTACTAGTAAGTTGAGGATTCTTAGACAATTACCCTGGGTTCTTTGTATTAGTCCCTTTAGACTTGGAAATGTAGGACTTCAACATCCCTTTGTCAGCTAGATGGTCCAACGCCCGTTGAAGGATGAAGCAGTCGTTGGTGTCATGGCCAACTTCCACATGGTATTGGCAGAATTTATTTTTGTTCCTTGATTAAATGGAACTTTTCATTGGATTTGGCTTCACAAGAGACAGCCAGCCCTTGATCTCCTAAAGTATGGAGTTGCAGTCCTTGTTAAACTTGTACATGGGGACGTACGATTTAAACTCTTTATTTTTCTTCTGGGATGGCTGGTAAGAATCACCAACCGCCTAGACTTCTTTTCTCTCCTTGTCCTCTTCTTTCTTCTTTGCTTGCTGAGCTAACCAGTTGTCTTTCTGTTTGTCAGACTTATTAGAGTCTGAATCGCTACCAAGCGAGCAGAGGTCGGTTGCTTGGATGTAGCTTTCCGCCTTCTTAGGGCCGCCTGTAGGGCGAATGCCCCTTTTCTAACAAGGTCGAACTTTAAAGTTAACCCGTCTCTACGACCCTTAAAGAAGTTTGTGAAGGCTACCCCATCTTATGAGCGTAACCCTTCTCTCTCTCCCTGCTTAACGGTGCTCAAGTCAAGACTTATTTTCTTTGCATATATGTTCATTGAGAATTTGGAAGCAAACAAGAAAGCAAGCTTCTTGAAGCTATCAATAGAATCGGCTGGCAAGTTGCCAAACCATTGTTAGGCGATGCCCTTCAATCTAGCCGTGAAGCATCGACACCACGTGGCATCATCCAACCCCTATAGGTACATGGGGTTGGTGTATGCCATGAGATGGTCTTTCCGGTTGGAGGTACCATCAGAAGTACCTACCAACACGTTTTTAACCTTGGGCGGTTGTGCCGCCTCAGTTATTTCCCTGGTGAACTCAGAAAGTTGTTGACCAAGTCGGAGCAGACAGAGCTGCTAGTCTAATGGCTGGACATTGTTGTATGCCGCCTTACCCACAAACAAGGCCAGTTGCATAAAGTGAGGAGAATACGAGCGGTAGACCATAGGCGGTACGTACGGTGCATTCCCAATCATCTAAGGGCGAGAGTGGACGGTATTATTGCCTTTAAGGCTCTCATGAAAGGATTGGGTGTTCCCTGCTAATGTATTCTTGAAGCTGTCTAGAAAGCTCGAGGTAGAGGCTTCACAGACAGCTGCTGACTTCCCCTGCAGGTGATGATTTCTCGAGCGTCAAGAGTTGATATTTTGTTACCCACCGGTTGTTCACTCCAGTGGGGGTTTCTTTTATTCTTATGGGGTAGAAGAATTTTGGAACAATCAAGGGTCTCAGCTTCCTTGCCCAATAGATCCGGAGTCAGTTGCTTATCCTTGACAGGTTTTCTCCTCTCTAGAGGAGTCTTCCTTGCCGACTGACCCTTACTTGGGCTTGCCCTGCCTTTGTTGATCATATCTTTGATCCCACCCTTGAAGATATTCATGAATTTCATGTGCTCATCTCGGGTGACTGGAGCTGATCCTCTAGCCGTTTAGGTTACCCCTTCTGGCCTCCTAGGGGTCCTGCTTGGACCCGTGTGGCTCGCATGTCGTTCCAGCTGTTCTCTAGAGCGACGCTATCTGGAAATGAATGAGCTATCCTCATCCACATACGTTTCCACTTGGTAATCACATCCACCTGGTCAGTGAAGACCTTAGGCTGATGTTCTGGCTTAAGAGTATTGATGTTACCCCGCTAAGTAGCCGGTTGCTGGTTGGTAGAATCAGGAAGTGGTATAGACTTTTGAAGCATATTTGAGGTACTCTCTCCACAGTTGGCGCCAAATGTTTTGGTGTTTTTGTCCCTCCGGAGAGTTACGGTAGGAACACCTGTCCGGCTCGAGTTGTACCTATAAAACAACGGAGACTCCTTTTTTTTTGGTAAATAATAAATTTTATTACCAAAGAGAAAGAGTTACAACTGACAACAAGCTAAGCTATAACCAACAACAAACACCACAAGACCCAAAGAGGTCAAATAAACACCAAAGATCCAAGAAACTATCAAGCCACCTTCTAGGAAGGGTGCCATACAAAACCAAGGACCAGAAATGGACTCAAACTTCTAGCCACCTTCTAGGAAGGGTTCTGGAAGCAAGGACCAGAGAAGACAAGAGCAGCAACAAACAAAAACAGACAAGCCTGAGCTTACAAGATAAAAGACCTAGAACCAGAACATCAAAAATACAAGAATTTCCTATCAAACTCAGAACACCTAACTGCAACCCTATAAACAATCTCTCTGAAGACCAAATCAGCAGGCTGACAGCTACCATTGAACAACAAACTGTTCCTCAGAAGCCAAATACTATGAACAATTTCAGCAAAGAACATCAAATAAAGCCTACACTTCCTGTTAGCTTTCCTGTATAACCTTGCAGCCCGTTGCTGTTCAAGTTCAAAGCATTGAACTGTCTTCTGAATTTTCAGCAAATCAAGGATTTTCTGCCAAATTTCTCTAGAATAAGAGCATGAGAAGAATAAATGAGCAACACTTTCAACACAGTTCTGGCAAAAGAAACACAAAGGATCACAGTTAATATGCCATTGAATAAGCCTATCCTTAGTCACCATTCTATTCTTCAAAGCCATCCAAGTTATGAATATACTCTTAGGAGAAGCTTGATTATTGCAGACAAGCCTCTTCCAGCTCACTTTATCAGGCTGAGGTCTTATTTTAGAGTATACTTTAGAGATACTCATTTTTCATTATGAGTAACTGCAGGCGAACCACCAATGCTGTCAATAACTTCCTTGTACCCAAAAATTTTCTTTAAAACCCAAGTGCACTTATTAGAAATAGTAGTAGACCAAAGATTCTTGTTGCTAAAATAGTATGTATGGACCCATTTAACCCATAAATTATCAGATTTATGAGCTAAATCCCATAAAATCTTACAAATAGCAGCTTTGTTCCAATCACTCAGCAAAGTAATATTCCAACCACCACAAACTTTAGGAAGGGTCATATGATTCCAAGAAACATGAGCTTTATTAGAATAAGCATTTTTACCAGTCCAAAGAAACACCCTAAATCTAGACTCAATTTCCCTAAGCACCTTTTTGGGAAGAATGAAGATCTGAGCCTAATAAGCTTGAATGCCAAAAAGGACACTTTTAATGAGTTGTAACCTTCCAGCATAAGAAAGATGTCTAGCAGACCAGTTATCAATCCTAGCAGTAAGTTTCTCAATCAAGGGTCTACACTGAGCAATAGTCAACTTCTTAGAAGACAGGGGAACACCAAGATACTTGAAAGGAAGATTACCCCTACTCATCCCAAGAATAGCTTGTAAGTTATCTTTTTCAGCTTCAAGCAAACCACCATAGTATACCTCACTTTTGCTAAGGTTAGCAGACAAACCAGAGGCATTAGAAAACTTCTGAAAAGCATTCAAAAGAAGCTGAATAGAGCCAGCATCAGCTCTAGCAAAGATCAATAAGTCATCAGCAAACATCATATGAGTAATACCAAGCTTCTCACATCTAGGGTGAAAGTTGAAATTAGGATCATGAGTCATCTCTTTCAAGCACCTAGACAGATACTCCATACAAAGAGAAAAAAGAAAAGGAGACATAGGATCACCTTGTCTCAACCCTTTTTGAGCTGGGAAAGGCTTAGAAGGAAAACCATTCACCGTTATAGAATAAGAGACAGAGGATACACAAGTCATAATCCAATTAACCACCCTTTGAGGAAAGCCAGTTTCCTCAAGAACAGTCTTAAGAAAGCTCCATTCAACAGAATCATCAGCTTTCATCAAATCAATCTTGAGCATAGATCTAGGAGTGATAAATTTATGAGTGTAGCCCTTGATAAGCTCAGTAGCCAAAAGAATATTATCCTCAATATGCTTCCCAGGGATAAAATCAGATTAAGATTCACTAAAAATAGATCCCACAACCTGAGCAATTCTATGAGTAAGCACTTTAGAGATTAACTTTTAAACCATAGTATAACAAGCAATGTGTCTGTATTCTTTAACATAAGAAGGATGGGGAACTTTAGGAACTAAAGTTACTGTAGTGCGACTCCATTGCTTAGTAATAATACCAGTTTGAAATAATTGAGTAACAGCAGTATAGATGTCATGCTTAATAATGTGCCAAGCCTTCTTGAAAAAGACAACATTAAAGCCATCAATACCAGGAAGCTTGTCATTGCCAATACTAGCCAAAGCAGCATCAATTTCAGAATAAGTAACCTTTACAGATAAGACATCCATACCAGTTTGGTCCAGCTGTTTACCAGCTCTCATAGTTTGAATATCAACAGCAGGCAAAGAGGGAGCTCTAGTACCCAGCAGAATCTTATAGAAGCCAACAATCTCATTTTTCACTTGAATAGGATCGTTTAGAAGAACATCAAGATCAGTAAAAATAGAATCAATTCTATTCCTGCTTTGCCTTTGCTTCATAACAGAAAAGAAATAGTGAGAATTAGAGTCACCTAACTTGATCCAATCCACTCTAGCTCTCTATTTGTATATGTTCTCCTGAATATTCATCCAATGCTTAATTTGATCAATAGCATCAGCTTCCTGTAAATGCTAATTTTCATTAGTAATATCAACAGCAAGCTTCTCTTGGATTTGAGTTAAATCAGAATTAGCTTGATCCACTCTATCATCAATATTTGTAAGACATTTGGTGTTTAAGCTCTTAAGACCTTGTTTGACAGTTTTCAAATTTTGCCAAATATCAGACATAGCAGTGTTCTTAGAAACTTTAACCCAACCAGCTTCAGCAACAGAGCAAAAATCTTTTTGATCAGCAAGGAAATTCAAGAATCTGAAAGGCCTTCCCTTCCCAGGGATATGAGAACAAACCTCCACCAAAATAGGACAGTGATCAGAAAGCAAGGGAGGGAGAAAAATAGCTTCAGAAAAACTGTAAATAGACATCTAGGCCTTGTTAACCAGACCTCTATCAATTCTAGTAGCAATCCTATCATCACCATGCCCTTTATTATTCCAAGAATAGAAAGAAACCTTACTCTTCATTTCACATAAGTCCATGATCTCAATACACTCTTTAAAGTGCTTCACCTCACAGTCAGTAATAGGAGCACCATTAAACCTACCACCATCATAAAGAACAGAATTAAAGTCACCAATGAGAAGCCAAGGATCAGCAGACACTGAAATGTTGTTAATACCAGTCCAGAGAGGGACCCTATCATGTATAGAGTGAAGACCATACACAAAAGTAAAAATGATGCTGTAAGTCTTTAGAACAAATATCAACATGAACAAACTGCTCATGAGAAGAGAGAACAGTCACATTCACCTTGTCATGTAACCAAGCAATCCAAATTCTACCTCTGTGAGAATGATCATAATTGCAAAACCAAGACCAAGCTTTGCCAAACTTCTTCTGTAACTTGATACAATTCTTCAGTTTCACCTTGGTTTCCAGAATACCAATTACATCAACAGAATGCTCAGAGAGTAACTTCTTGACAGAAGCTACTTTATTAGGGTCATTTAAACCCCTAATATTCCAAGAGACAACAATCATTCTCCCAGAGGGGGATTACCATCACCCTCGATAGGCACAGTGTGAGTATCTTCAAACAAAGAAGAATAAGGATTAGAACTAGAAAAATCTGGCACAGGATGAGACACACTAAGACTTCTATGCTTTCTTCCAACTATTCTCCAATCATAATCAGAATTGGCTTTGTGTGTAGAAGGAGCAGGAGTAACAATAGCAGCACCATGAACTGTCTCATTCATACTAGCATTAGAGACATGAACATCAACAGCAGTAGTAGGAGTAGGATTAGGCTGCCTAAGAACCTAAACCCTAGCTTGCTCCTTAGAACTAGGTTGTTTCTTCTGAGCCTGAGTCTTAGGCTTACCCGGAGCACTACAGTCATGCCCTACCTTATTACATTTCTTGCAAAAAGGAGGAGACCATTCAAAGATAAGCTTCTGTTCAATGAGGTTGCCATCTGGATTCTCAACCCAAATACTCTTAGGCAAAGGTTTAGTAATCTAGAAAAAGTAACCCTTAATTGCTTAGAAGTACAGTCATCAACATACAGAGGCACCCCAATAACACTTCCAATTCTACTCAAGGTATCAACCCCCCAACAATTGAGAGGAAGATTAGGAAGTCTCACCCATAAAGGAATAGTTCTGAGAACCTCAGAATGAAAGTCAAACTTATCACTCCAAGGTTTAACAATAGCTGCCCTGCCATAGAACATATGTGGACCAACATTCATAAAGGTATGCATATCATCACAGTTTTGCATCTTAATCTAGAAGTAACCAACATCATGCCAGTATATCTCAGGTTTAGCAATAGAATTCCAATTCTCATAAATGTATCAATGAACAGCAACAATTGTAAGGTAGTAACCAATAACATAGAAAACGACAGAGTTTTTCCATTTAATATTACCTTCTTGCTGTTCAGCACTCTACAGCTGAGCAATAGACTTTCCATCCTTAAGAACGGGAGCAACAAATGATAGGAAAGCTCCTTTAGCAGTGAGTTTGGAATTGGACCAAGGATTAGCTTTCTAAGGCACTTCAGCACCCACAGGAAAACCACCAGCATTCTCAGGCACAACCGGATCATCAGTAGCAGAACTAGCTCTAGTATTCAATGGAACAGTAACTCGAGGAGCCCTAACAACTTATTGCGCTAGATCTAAAGCAATGTCACCAAAACTAAGACTAGCACCAGCATTAGGAACATCAGAAGTGTTGCTAACACCATTTAATTAAGTTAGATTTCCCTTAATAGCTCCAGCATCCAATGGAACAGTAACCCACGAAACCCTAGTTACTGTTTCATTGGATTTCTGCAGAAAACTATGTAAAACAAATTGATGATTCAATTCAAGGGCTCTATGTTCATCTCTAGTAATCTTACCAGCAGCAGAAGAAGGATTCACCAGATGAGGAGGTGGTGTAACCAGTTCATCCATATCAGACTCCTTAGAAATCAAAGAAATACTTGCAGAAAAACCATCAACATTGAGCTGATTCAAGCCAAAATTCAATGAAGTCGATGATGCTAAGTTTGAGGGTTGAGGAATTGTAGTTGCCTGCTTCTTCTTCTTAGCCATAATCAATCAAACCGAGTGAAAAAACCAGCTTCAAAGATTTTCTGAGCTGGTTTTTGGGAAAATTGTTGATTTATTATTGTTGATTTATTATTATTTTGTGCGTCTCGTCATTTACTATTTTTAACTCAACTTCCGATGCTCGATTTCGACGCTCTAAGATCGAATTACCGACGTCTAAATATTTAATAATCGGGCGATTAATTAATGTCTTCCTAATTAATTCGTCAAGTTGGTTCGATTACTACTCAGGGTGTAACCCGAAGGGTTTAGTCAAGATTCAGCTGTAATATTAATTATGCATTAATATTACTGATCGGAAGCGGCCTCCACCTTTGCATTTCGATAACTTGACCTTACTGAATATATTAGCTTTCTAATAATTTTGAACCCACTATCAGAATAATACACTTGTTCAAAGGACACCATTCCTTTCAATCTCCCACTTGTCCTTCCGGACAAGTGAGTTGTATAGACCCTTTCATATGTCTCTTCATGTATCTTCATTAATTATATGGTAAGATTATTCGTCATCCCTAGTACTTCCAGAAGTGTTTCTTGAAATATGAGTTTGATTGTCAATAAGCAGATGATTTCTAAAGTCTATCTGAGCACGGCCACG